AGTAGGTTTCAGAATAGATTCAGATAGATAGAAAGTAAAAGTATCTCATAAATTGTTATTAGATCAACCTATAACAAATCTTATCGTGTTCTGGAAATCGTGTTCACAAAAACTCTTACCATTGACTTACCATGTACCAAAAAACTAAATACATAATCGTAATTCCACAACCTACACGTATTTAACAAGTTTTAGTTAACAATTGGATAACGCGCGCCAAAATTTTTGCAAAAAAACTAGACATTTACACACAAAACCCAAAAAAGTCGTTTTTCTTACCATTATCTTACCATCACACAAACCATAAAACCTTAGTATTCCCTATCCATTGGTATTTCCCATTCTAATACATTGTAATTTCTATTCCCTATCTTAATACATAGCTTGAAGACCGAATGTTCTATTCCCTATCTTAATACATGTGGGTCTTCAAGGTCCCCCCCCCCCTGATCACCTCCAACATCTACTACTCCCATCACCTCCTTCGCTACTCACGCTTTTTGTTTCGTTATCTGAAAATAACTTTTGATATCCGTTCTTTGACACCTCAAAACAAGCAAGTAATTCAAATGTTTTTTTTACTCTCAAAAACAATAATCTTGGCATTATCATTCTAACATAATTTAATTCTAGTTTCATCTCCATCGTTATCCACTGTAAACGACCAACCCTCCACTTCAAAGGAGATCACATCTCAAGGTCACTCAAAAAACCTAAGCCAAGGTCACGATAGTTCGGGTTCTACGAAAGTCGGAGCATCATCAGGAGTTGCAGGACAGCATGTCAAACCAAAACCCGCCGCGAGGACTAAGACTATTCACGTGCAGGAGCAGATGATGAAGGGTGGGGGGAGGGGTGCCAGGGGAGATCAGCAGGCCGGAGAGGGAGGGGGTTGGAACAAACAGAGCGAACATGTGCAGGAAAAGGTTTAGATTTTTAGGCCTTTTCCACTTCTACCCTACCTGAACTTCAAACTTGAAAAAATCGGAACAAAAACTTGAAAACCAATTCAACTTCTTTTTTAAAGAATAACAAATTTGGCAAAAAATAAATATCATTGGTGAGAATGCATTTGTTCTCCAACTTTGCAACCTAGTTTTACACATTTACCCGCTGTATGTTCCGAACCTCAGTCAGGTACCGTGTGAACATACAATATGTCAAACATCCGAAAAACAAAAAGTGTTGCAAACATCCCAAAAAAACATCCCATAAACCAAAAAGTGTTGCAAACATCCCAAAAACAAACAAAAAAACATCCCAAAAAGTAAAGGGATGCAAATCTCCAAAAAACAGCTTTACTTGGGCAAACATCTCACATTTTTCAAGAAGTAGAAGAAAGATCCGATTTTTACCGTTTGCTTAACAAATGCTATAGTGGTCAAATGATGGCGGATCTGGTACGTCAACAGAGTGTAGGACTCTATAAAAGGGTAGGAAAATAAGAGCCTGTCTGCGTCGAAAAGCGGCGACGCGCGCATAATTTAAATTCTGACGTCAAAATATTACAATTTTTTTTAAATGAAAACTCGAATGTTTGACATATCGGATTTTTGACTAGACCTGTATGTTCAAATATAAAAGTCTATTTTCTTTTCTTCTTTTACGAAAACAGAAGCTTGTAACCTAGGGGACCGTGTAAAAGGACTATTTTTGTACAGTTGTAGCTAAAAAATTAAAGTCCGAGTTACTAAACGACATCTTGATATAATATACATGTTTTTTATTTAAACTAACAAAGTTGTAATAACAATTTGAAATATTTTGTTTTTCTAAGCATACAGAAATGCATTTCTAGAGATGAAATAGAATGTTGACGAAGTCAAGCTTATTACCAAATAATTTCTCCTGCGAGGCTTTTGATTAGCCCGAAAGCACAACGTCCTAGGTTGACCTAAATACAAAAAATGCTTATCAAACAATTCCATACGAAACATATAATTATCATACAATTCCATCCATTCGTTCTATGGGAAAAATGTTTTTCAACAATTCCAATTTATGAACATTGTGGGTTACGCATTTTTTAACTAACTTTTTAGGAAACACTTACAAAAGTTTTTTAGGTAAGTTTACAGAATTTACATCAGGTTTCAACTGAATGGTAACATATGCCTGAAAAAAAAATTTTTCAGACAATTTTCAATCATAAAAATTGTATGATAAGCATGTTTTCCATATGTTATAGATAAAAACATTTCAACAAAAGCTGTCCAAAAACAGGAAAGGATCTGTCTAAAAACAGAGGCCTTTTAGCCAAAGGCAAAATATTGCATTTTTTGTGAAAAAAAATTGTGCGAAATCTAATTGCTTATTTTATTTGACATCTATCAAAACGTAGTTTAATCTGCAATTTTTATGCCATTTAACCTGTTGATTTTCATATTTGAGAAAATTTTTGGCTTTTGTGTTTCAAGGCAAAACACAAATATAAAGCGAAACACAGAAAAATTTTGGTAGAAAAGGCTCAACATTCAAATCCATTGTATGGAAATATTGTCTATCATACAATTCCACAGTATTGTAAAAAGTTTGTCATGCTAATTTCATACGATTTTTTTATAGCTATTGAATTGTTTGGAATTGTTTGATAAACATTTTTACAAAATTAGCGCCAGAGAACAACAACAGCAACGCTTGCTGTGCAAGTAGCACAGAGAGTTCCGACCACGATTAAAAATAATTAAAACCAAAATAATTTTTTTTTCAAATTGTTTGTGGTGTGATGAGAGAATCTGAAAGAATGCCTAAACCCTAAACATATTCAAAAACAATTGTTCATTCAGCGTAGTTGATAACAATTTTTTCTAAAATTGAAAAGAAAATCAAAAAATATCAAAAAACAATACCGATTTTTGAGTTTTTTTGGAAGTGATATTTTGTTGGAATAAGACCTATTTTTCACAGCTTAACTGACTTATAAGCCTCTAAAAGACCTATTGGCTTCAAAATAGTTAAAAACCCAGAAACTCAAACCAATTTTTCTCGACACAAAAAACTTTTAGGAAATTTTAATATTGAATTACTATTTCAAGAGCTTTAATATGATGCAAAAATTTTATCGGAAATTTTGGCAGAATTTGAACAAGCAAATTAAAACTGCAAATTTTAAAACAGTGTACAAATTATAGTAAAAATGCGTTTGTGAGTACGTTTTTGAAGATTTTGACCAAAAAGTTGCTTTTTTTGGCGCACAGTCTACTTTAAATACCACATACTGGCGCCCAAAGCGCCTTTAGTAAATCTGTAGGATAGGGCTGCCAAAAGGGACCCTTAAAATGGTATTGAAGGGGTCCCATTGAGTTGTTAGTGAGTTACTTCGGTGAGCAGTCAATTACACCCCCCCCCCCCCTCCCCCAGAAATCCAATCCTGTTATACAGTCAAGGGACAGGAAAGCTGCAACTTTTTAATTTCAGCAAGCAAATGAACGAAATTTTTCTTCGTGTTTCCGTGTTTTGCATCAATTTAGGTCATAAAGATGAAACTTTGACACATGCTGGATAAAATGAAATGAAAAGAGCTAGCTGGAATAGTTTTGAGAAATTTTGTTTAAATTTTGTTTTGTAAATTAGCCAGTTTATTGAAACTGGTTTCAGATGTTTTCTTCCTGTGGCAATTTCCTCGCAAACCAAAATTAAACTAAATTTTTAAGTTTAAACAAGACTGCTCGTATCAGGGCAAAGCCCTGAATGTTCCGACTGCCTTTTAATGTTTAATAAAATGTAATTAAAATGAAATTTTTTTTTCTAAAATTTGAAATTTTTCATGAAAATCATCCCCTCACACGCCATCTAAAGTACAAGAGGATAGATTTTGCTCCTTGTAACAAATCAATTATGCCAAATAAGCTTCTTCCAACTAATTTGGAACGATTTCTAAGACGGATTAAATCTCCGCTTACGCGTTAATAGCGCGAATTATATCGCGCGTTAATTGTCCCAAATTGGTCAAAATGGCCAAAATGGCAATCTTTAAACCCTCATAACTTCACGAAAAATGATCACAGGTGAAATATCTTTTCAAATTTAAGCTCAGGACAACAATATCTTTTGAATGATAAAAAAAAATTCCGTCAAAAATGGCTAGTTAAAAAGTCGAAATTTGTCTGAAGAAAAAAAACCCACCCCGAGCACAAATATTCCGTTACTTTCGTACCGAAAGTCGGAACAATTAGTAAGCTTGTGTTACTTTTAATACAACGGAAAGGCAACAGATGAATTAAATAGTTAAAAGAGTTCGTTTGTCTAAAAACGGTTGTATCTGTTTTTATTGAAACAGACATTAAAACGTCTTGGAAACTAATGTCAGAAAAAATGGCACAATTGTGAAACAACCTAACTACTTATGAAAATGCTGTGCATGACTCAGAGCAGTCATTTTTTTTAAAATACCTGCCGGAACAATGTTTTTGTTGGCTCATTCCAATCATCAGCGCCAAATTACTCATACAATTTATCTTTTCTTTGACGCCGGACTGGGTAACTCTATGAATCTTTTCGTCTGTTACTTTCCCGCGTTATGAAGAGTAAGACTAGCTTATCAGGTTGTTGAAGAACTAAACTGAGCTCATTAACTGGTCTTTAAAACAAAACAAGCTGTTTTACGACTTCAAAACAAAATGCCTCACATTTTTGTCCAATTAGCTCCTGCAATTTAATTTAAGCTAGCTTGTGTCAAAGTTTTAGCCCTATTTCTTCATTAATTGAAGAGAAAACGAAAACAAAACCTGAAAAAAAAAAATCATTCAACTGCTCATTGAGAGCAAAAAGTTTCCATTTCTTGCTCATGACTGGACTGTAGTTCAATAAAAATTGGGATCAAAAAACAAATAAGGGAGATTATTGTTCATTTGGTTTTGAAATATTATTTTCAGCCAATCAGATTTGAGCATAGTACATGCAGGCCTAATGGTTTGATTTCACTATTCAGTTTTTGAAGGGATTGTTCACTTGGTCTATTCAGGGTGGAGATTGCCCACATTTCACATGGGCCAAAAACTGATAGTCGAAAGGAACAGTGCAATTATCGAAAAAGCAAACAAATTCAAAAACCAAAATGCAATATCTGATATAATGGGTGCAGCTATGTTTCTGAGGATGCCAGTTTTTCATTCACCGATTGGCCGAACTGTTCAGAGATGCGCCGAAGTCTTCTTCGGCTAACATCCAAATTGGCGGCTCGATCAGGCTCGACTTCATCGATTTTACTGTCGTCTTTTGTGATTGCGCGTTGTCCTCCTCCAATTGCTCGACTCTGGGGTCAAATTTGGGAATCGTCGGTTTCGAGGACTCGTGACGACGCTGCTGTTTATTCTTGTCACCTCTTCGCTTTGGAGCGTTTTTGCTGAACGGAATTAGCCCTATCCCCCCTGTCATAAGGCAACCTAGTAATAGTAATAAATTTATTAATAAACCAGTAATATTTTTTTTTTAAATTGAAAAAAAAATTGTTGGTCCCTGGCAACGAGCAATCCTGCACGCTCTTAAACTATTCACAATATCTATCGGTCATTGACCTCTATTCCTGTCAATATATTTTCACTTCAGATAATCAGAAATTAATTTTTTTTTTTTCAAACTAATTTCACCGATTTTCGATAATGCTCAATTTCACCATTCGTGTATCCCGCTTAGTTAGTTCTATTTCCGGGAAATAATCTGACATGTATAAACTCGATGTTTTTTATTGCAAAGAAAAATTCAAACTTTCTAACAAACCACTTGCTTTTCTTAATGATTGGTTCGGTGTTGTGGCGTCTCAATATTCTCACTCTGTGCACTCCACTTGTGTTCACGATGACATCTTTAGTGGCCAGAGGTCTGGACACCTAAGTGTTGAAATAAATAGATCATCAAATAAAATTACAGTGCAACAAGAATAGCTGGTTGCCGTGAGCTCAGCTTCAGAACTTCCCATTAACAGTTGACTTTGCAAACAACAATTTGAAAAAAAAACAAGAATAACCAGTCACTTTTTTTTTCTTCAAACTAGTGTCGTTGTTTGGGCTTGAACTATACAAACGCGTCAAAAGTTAGTAGATGAGACATAATCGACATCTTTTGTCTCCAAAAAATGAACAGAAAACGAAAAGGCAAAAGAAAACATTTCAAAAAGAAGTTTTTTTGTTGAGAATTATTTTTGAAGCCAGGACACCAAACTATTAGACCCCCTGACAAACCAAAGTATCTCCCTTTGATACTATTTTGCGACATCCAGTTTAATTCAACGGACCAAAACTGGCCAAAATTTTTCCAAAGACGCCGGTATATAAAACTTTGAGGGGTGAGCGCGCCAGAAAAAAAAATTTTCGGTCAAATTTTCTAAAAGCTGCCTGAAAGCGGAACTTTTGGCCTGTTTTTTTTTCCCACAAAAATACGCGTGAAAGTATAAACAAAAGTAATTTTTTGTTTTTAATTTTTTGAGAAAGCTCGGAAAAATATTTTTGTCGACCAAAAAAGTCGCCAAAATCTTGAAAGTTTTTTGAAAATCCGCGGAATCTCGACAGAAGCATTGATACGCGCCTGATTGAAAGTTTTCAAAAAAAGTGATTGAAATTTTTTTAAATGATGTTTTTTTAGTTGAAAAGCCCGAAAAATTAATTTTGACGACCAAAAAAAAATTTAAAAATCCGGCAAAACCCTCGACAAAACCCGCGCCTGAGTGAGATACCTTGCCGATGTTCTTCATCTCCACGTCCTCCTGTGCCGGCTGACATCCAGACATGCAGGAGACATACCGAGTGGAGTCATCCAGATAGGTCACATCTGCCACTGGAGAAAAAAGAGAAAAACCAATTAGTTTTTAGGATAAGATAGAAATATACAATAGAAAACGTAGTGTAGTTCAAGTAGGCATAACATTGGGCACTTTAGATCAAAACAAATGGGTCAGGTAAACCGAGTGCGGCTCTTTTGTCCGAGGCCATCTTCAACTATGTTCTTACTGTTGAAGTGTATATTTTGCTCTTTCTGAGGGAAAAATGCCAGAAAATTGTGAAAGAGCCGGGAAAAGTGCGCGAAACTATGCAAATGATTTCTTTTTTTGTTCATGCGTTCTAATATTTCATTTTTCATTCATGTCTTGTCATGAAAGAACATGTGTGAAAGAGCAAAAACATACTCTTCTGAGAAAAGTGAGAACTTAAAATCAAGACCTCTTCTAGTTTCCATAGGTTTCAATTTTTGGATAATTTTTTTTTTATATTTAAAAGGAGGAAATCGTTTTTAAGGTCGGACATTTTCTTAAGTTTAAAGGCCAAAATAGTTCTTTATAGGGCTGGGGGAAGAAATTGTCTACTTTTTCTTAGACCCTATAAAGACCCTATTTTGAGCAAATTTTCTGCGCCGCGGGCAATTTTATGAAAAAAAAACAGGCCAAAAATTTTGACCATAAAAATGCGTTTTTCGGCGTGCTTTCATCCACCAAAATCAGTACATATTGGCGTCAAAGGTTCCCTTGCAAAATTTATAGCTTCAATCAACCAAAAATGGAGATCTCAAAATAGTACAAAGGGGGACTCTGCGGGTTGACAGGGGTCAAATCCCTGAGGGGAGGGCTTCCACTCCTCCCCCTCCGCCCTAATTGTCTTCTTGCTACACCTACTGTATATAGCTTCGAGTAGAACAAGCAAAACTTATTGTGCTCAAAAAGTTATCGTGGTTTTTTAAAACAAAAAACTTCAAATTGGTATTGAGAGTTACGGAAATGGGGGCCAAATTGGGTTGCGGAAATGGCCATTGCGCGACCGTAAGTCCTCTTTTGCGCCAAATATTGAGTCGCGGAAAATCGCAACTTAAGGCGCGCAAATTCGCGATCCAGCTTATTTAAACAAAGAGGCGTAAATATTGGAGAAAACCGCTTAGATTTAAAGGGCGCATCCAAAATTTTCCAGCTCGCAGTTTTTCAAAAAAAAAAAACAAATTTGAAAACGATTCGATTTTTATACCTTGTAAGCACTCCTAAAATACTAAAAAAGACCTTATTTATTCAAAAAAAGCTTCCGTGCTGCCATTTTTGAGTGCGGGCACTTTTGAATAGGTTTTGAAAGGAATCGCTCCCTTCAAAATTAGTAGATTTTGGTGCCAAAAGCCCATACAGCAAATTGTCAGAGCCGAAAACGGTTGTCGTAAAATAGAAAGAAAGGGCTCTCAAAATCGCCAAGAGGCGTACTCAAACCCCCCCCCCCCGTCCACTGCTGGTTTTCAATATGATTGAAGATTGAACTCGACAGACTAGCATCGAGTAGTAGGCGTATAGTCTAACAGTTCTCATATATGCTGAACTGTTCTGGATCTCCGATGGTGTAGCTGTCTTTCCTGTTTCTGTTCTCCCCCCTCCCCCTCCCTCCCAGCAGTCTCCCCCAACAACAGTTCTTCACCATTATGGCCGTCATCATCAGGACACAACACACCAGAATCAGCAACACTTTTATCAGATTGATTTCCTCGTCCTCTTTTCCAGGAATCTTCATGTACACCTAAAGTAACAGGCAAATAACAATTATTTAGACTATTTACCAGAGAAATAAACTTAAATATGACATTTTTTCCCGCGAGGATAATGATCAACTTATTTTACTGCATACAATTTGCGGTTACTTTTGGCTATTTTTCTGCGCCCAGCGACGCTAACTCTTACTCAAGCGACGAGCATGAACAAAAATTTAACAAACAAGAAAAATTTCCGGAAGCTGTGCAAGTAGCAAAGAAAGTTTCGACACAATAAATACTTGCAAAAAATACAAAAAAGTCGGTTTTCAGACTGAGTTTTCCGACACTGAAGGCGTAGGGAATCTTTGAGCTCAATTGTGTTTTCTATTTTGGGATCTTTTTAACTATATGCTCATCTTTTGCAAAAGAGGGGTCGATTCCTTACAATATTCATATGCTTATCAGTTCAATTTTTCCTTCATAGGGGAGCCAATTCGCTACAACGTACAATAGGGGAGCAACAAGATCCAATTTTTATATAAGCAAGTTCAGGTAAGCAATAAACGCTTCACGTGGAATCTATGACATGTAATATAATATACCCTTCAATCGTGATTCTACTTGCAAAAAAAAGTTTCGAAAGCAAAGGATTTAAGCTGTGTACAGAAAACGCAGTCTGAAAACTTAATTTTCAAGACCAACTTGTTGCAAAAACATGCTGAAATTACCCTTCTAAATCTTATAAGAAAACATAACAAGCTGAAAAACAAGGTTAATTAAGCTCTGATTAATTGAGCCTAGATAAGGGTCTCCCTTTCACAACAAAATCAAAAATAAAGTCCAAAAAATCTGAAAAAACATCACTCTTGTTGCAATTTTCTGTGCTATTTATGCAACAACCCATTAATCTTAGTTTATTTTTTTTTGCCGGAGAAGGAAAAACGTAATAACAGAAGAAATGCAAAAATACGTTTCAAAGGAACAACTTTTTTTTTCACTGCCGTTGCTCGATTCGTGTTTGGCGCCGTAAAAGACTACAAAAGTAAAAAATTCTTCACATTTTTGGAACTAGATTTCTTCGGGACTTTTTCAATTGACTTTCCAAACTCTCACAAAATACTATTAAAAGGAAAAAAATTATCTTTTTTTTTCTCGAAAATAGCGTCTCATTGGATTTTTTCGTTAGATCACTAAATTTTTCTCTTCGCTGTACAGTTTTAACATATTTTTTCTGCTTATGTTAATGGTTATTCAGCTTTTAAACTTGAAACAAAAGCTGCCAAAAATATGTCAAACTACACGTTAAAAAACAAAACTAGCGTGTGAAGAAATCAAACATTCAAACAGGGGCGGATCCAGAATTTTCTCGTGGGGTGGTGGATTTAAAAAAAAAGTTCGACCAATTTGATTTTTTGAGCTGTACCAAATCACTATGAAGACCCTACTTTGACCAAATTTTTTGCCTTTAGAAAGATTTTAGGGCCAGTAAGCCAAAAATGGATATCTCAATAGTTCAAAAAGGGGACCCTTTAGTTCGGCAGGGGGTCGAATTCTAGAGAAGGGGTGCTTTCAAATACGGCGCTAATTTCGTTTTTCTTCAAAAAAATACGAAAACGTGAATGCGTTTTTGTTTCCAACTCGAAAACCAAAAGTGATCGAAGAACAAGCTCCTTAAAAATTTTTGATAGTTTTTGATTCCGTTATACTGATACGGGACAAAAACCGTTTTTTCAAATTGTTTCTCTTCTAAAATAAATAAGGAGAAAATTTTTTTTGAGATATTGAAACTTTCCCAAAATGTTTCTAGAGAATACTGAAGAGTGACCGTTAGAATTTTCCTAAAACGGGGATTCTCCATTGAACACATAGCACGTTTCTTGTCACAGTAGTTTTCGACAGTGTCAAAAAGTATCCGAAAAATATTCAAAATTTCAAAATTTGCTCTGTTTAAAGGCCATAAGTTTTTCTAACAAACTTGAGCATAGTCAATTATAAAAGGCGGCTTTCAACAATCTGTCATTTTCATTAAGACGGTCATACAAAATAAAAGATTTTTCCGACTGCAAAATTTTTTTGTATCAAAATATTTGTGAGTGGGTGAAAAGCAGAGGAGCTTCCCACTACCCGTTATCTCCATTGAACCCATGATGTCTAAATTGGGAGGTTAGTTTTCCTGAATAATCAAAAAGATTCAAAAAACGGTCAAAAAATTAAAAACTTGCATGTCCGAGATTTATAGCTTTTGGAGTAAAAATTAGGAATAGCCATTTATGCAGAAGAAATGTACGCAACTTTTTACTCCGATTGAATTGAAAAAATCAGATTTTCTACGGGAATGGTAGTTCTCGTGAATAGTTAAGAATTAATGTTTTCGTTTTTCGATTTTCATGAGTTATAAGTAAAATAGTTTAAGCGTAGTCGAGTTTCCAAAGGATAAATGAACGGTCAAAAAAATGAAAAAAAAATCCGATGAAAAAAAAGTAAATTGCCGCTAATGCAGAGCAGCTCCTCGTTTTTCGGGATTCTCATCGAGCCCGCAATCTCAGCTTTGGGGGTTAGTTTTCAAGAAATGTCAAACATATTCAGAAAACGATCAAAAAACTTTACAGAACTTGTCTATTCCGAGGGCCATATTTTTAGGTGCAAAAAATGGGTGAAGCCGCTTATACAGGAGAACGTTCGAAAACCCGTCATAGGTATTATTAATTAAAAATGATTGCAATAATAAAATAAAAAGGTTAAAAAATGAAGCAGGTTGGAAATTGGTTTTAAAAATTCTTGTACAGGATTACAATTTACTTGCTTTCGCAAGTGTAATCAAACCAAAATGTCACATAAACATTTTAAAACTTCATTACGCTAAGAAGAGGCGCACAATTAATGTTTTCCACAGTTAATGTTTTTGTGGAAAATAAAAGCTTCTTGGGTCTTATTACATTTACTTGATATCAACACAGTTTGGGAAAATGCATTTAAAAATCAGGTTTTTTCTTTGGTTAATTTAAACCAAAAAGGTAGCAGCTTAGGATTTTGGCGACAAGGACTAGTATAATTGCGATTGCTTTTTCGGGTCAAAAAAATTGATATTTTGATCTCGACTAAGTAAAACATTTTTTTTTGATAAAATGAGGTTAAATTGCCCTATTTAGCACAATTTTCTATAGTTTTTTAATCTAAAAACGCGTTTTTTTATCGCGCGCCACTCCAAATATGTACCACCAATGCGTATCGTCTTAAATTAAACAATAACTTTATCTTCAATCAAGGAAGTCGCTAATTAGCTTTGCGTTTTCTGACGTATACAAGTGTTTTTGTCGGCAAATTTCAGAGGTTAAAAATAAAATGTAGAATTTTTCGGCCAAAAAAGTTGCATTGCAAGTATGAGCGCATGAATATTTCACTAGAAAAAAAATTGGTAACCAAGCAGGGCAGAAATTTGCAACCACTGCATTTGATGATTAAAATTTGAAACAATTGACGAAAAAAAAACAAGTTATTTTGTTTTCACTTTCTTTTTTCTTAGTTTTCTGCTGTTGTTTGGGTCCTCAAAGAGCTGAAAGTTCACTTCCGGAAATTTGATCAAAACATGTTTTACTCCATTTTTACTGGGTGTTTGTAAAAAAGGACGTTTTTGATCGATGAGAGCAAGCGCCACTGACCTTCACATAGCTGTAGGGCGCGTATTTGATTGGTTCTCCTTCAAAATACCTCGGATACTTGGTCAAATCCAGACCATAATATGTCGTCATTCTGAATCAAAGATAGCCAAATATACCAAAAAAATTTTTTTAGCGCATTAGATCAATCACATGTTCCTGACGATAAAAGTTCTACAAACATTTATAAATTGAACAGTTGTTTTTGTTTGATTTCAGCTTTTACCAAAAGTGGAATTAATTAAACTGAGCCGGATAAATTGTTGTAACTTATTTGATGGTGCAAAAATGGAGCAAATCTGACATAGCGTAAAACAAAAAATCAAACAACGCTCCAAATTGCTGTAGTATTATCTTTTTGTAGATTTATCGCAAATTTTATGGCGGAAAAGTTTAAATAATTGATGTTCAAACGGATTTTTTTAGCATTGAAAAAACCGAAATGTAATCAAATGCAGCTGTTATAATTTTTGCGCCATTGACGCATGTCCTGTTCCAGGAAAACAACGCCTTTCTATTATAAAAAGTAATGAAATTTCCGTCACGCTTTTTCTAATTAATTGACTGGAACTAGAAAATCTGGATGTTTTTTTTTCAGTTAATGCGATTTGATCGAAGTTCGAAACTGTACTTTATGTGCCTCCAAAACTCCAAGTTGAAAAAAAAATTGGCCTAACTATCACAGAGACCTGTTGATTATTTCGCAAACTACATCCGTGACAGTTAGACCATGGAAGTTTTACCATGGAAACGATTTAATCTTACTGAGTGTAAATTGTCTTTAGGAATTGTTTAAGGCTAATTTTCCGCCTGTGTTCCACTTAGTCTAGATTTTGCCGCAAGAAGCTTTCGTATTTAATTACAAGACTGCTCGTATTCAAAGCAAAGCCCAAATTGTTTCGACAGCAACTTAAAGCAGAAAAAAAAACAGCTTTTTCTTCAAAAAGTGAATTTTACCGAGAGAAATTTTGAAAAGCGGTTTAATGCTACCAAAAGGTATATTTTCTTTCACTTATGGTTTTCTCTCGTGCCTACTTGGGCTTAATCTAGTTGTATGTCTCGACCCGACTGCATGAGCAGTGGTAAAAGCTTTTGTGTAGTTTTTTGGGATCAGTGACCATTCAATTTTTGGCTTCCTGCCAAAGTGTGATTAAAACGGGGAGAATCTGGCTACTGAAAAATTTGTTACTTGACTGTTTTCTACAGTTTTTTTAATACTGATTCAGTATCTCGATGGTTTTCTTCTA